ATGGATGAGAGTCCCAGTTGCTCCACATCCTCATCAACGCATGTATTTCCCACCTTATCTTCTCTGTTGCTGCAGATGGACTGCTGCAAATCTGGCTCAGCTGTGCAATTCTTTCTGTTGTCCTCATCTTCTTTGCCTTCCCCATCCAAACAAGGTTTAGGAGAGTTTTTGTTGTTAGTTTTGCTAAACTGTCCTTGCACGTTGTTTCAGAAAAAAGGGATATAGCTGTGCAACTCTGAGTGAGCTTTTCGCTTTCAGGAAGTTTTTACTGATGCTTTCCTAAGATCTACCCCCACCCCCAACCCCCGTCAGTCCCTTCACTCCTGAGTTTCTTTTCCTTTCTCCTGCAGTTTCTGTCTAGTCTCCGATGCTTTACATGCCCTTATATGTATTTTGGTATTTGTGGATTCTGTTTCTCTTCTGGTTTTGTTGAAAAAGAATTTGCAAAGTTTTTTTTCCTTTTTGCTTTTAAAATAGTTTGTAAGAGTCAAAACAGTTATTTACAAATCCATTTTGCATTGGAAATCTTTATTCTTTGAGTAAACAGTGGGAGCAGAGGTAGAGATTTGTATAGATTGGGGAAAAGTTACCTGGCAAAGATAAGGGTTACCTGGCAAAGATATAGAGATATGCTGTTGTGTGCTAGTTTCTCTCTTTCATTTTATTTTTGGTTGCACTCAGTCTTCTTTGTGGCACATGGGCTCTTCCTTGCTAATCACGGGCTTTCTCTATTTGCACTGAGAGGGCTACTCTCTAGTTGTGGTGCATGGGTTTTTCATTGTAATGGCTTCTCTTGTTGCAGAGCAGGGGCTTTAGGAAGCGCAGGCTCAGTAGTTGTGACTCATGGGCTTAGCTACCCGAAGCATATGGGATCTTAGTCCCTAGTCCAGGGATCAAACCCATATCCCTTGCATTGGCAGATGGATTCTTATCCACTGGACACCATGGAAGTCTCTAATTTCTAATTAGGGCTTCATAATGATAAGGTTGGGCTTCCCAGATGGCGCTAGTGGTAAAGAACCCGGCTGCCAATGCAGGAGACATAAGTGATGTGGGTTCAATCCTTGCGTACAGAAGACCCTCTGGAGAAGGAAATGGCATCCCATTCCAGAATTCTTGCTGGAGAATTCCATTGACAGAGGAGCCTGGTGGGCTACAGTCCACGGGGTCGCAAAGAGTCAGACACGACTGAAGCGACTTAGCATGCATGCAATGGTAAGGCTGGGCTTCTCTGGTGGCTGTTTTTAAAGAATGTGCTTGGAATGCACAGGCAGGAGACCCAGGTTCGATCCCTGATTTGGGAAGATCCCTTGGCGAAGGAAAGGGCAACATGCTCCAGTATTCTTGCCTAGGTAATCCTATGGACAGAGGAGACTGGCAGGCTACAGTCCATGGGGTCACAAAAGTTGGACAGACTCAGTGACCGAACTACCATCAATGATAAGGCTGATGGAGTCCTAACAGTATCTGAAAATTGTGTAGCCTTTTATCAAGAGTCTCTCTAATAAGGGTGTAGTAGTCATCATGGGAGGAAGAATCTTATCTACAGTCAAGGCCTCCCAGGTGCAGATGGAGAAGGCAAATTTCCACTTGCATCAGTAATTCCAATAAGTTCTGTCTTTCTGGGTAAAGTACTAGAAGGAACCATAGAATAAATGAAGTTTGAGGCCCAGAGGTGACCTAAAAGAGGCATTCTGGACTTGGGCTCAGCAGCATTTCAAGCATAGCTCCTGGCACTGAGTAGTCAATGAACTGGTGAGTTCTACCAGGGATGGGATGAACTCATTCATCCTCTTATTTTGACTGGGCATAAATCTACATTCTTTTCTTTTTCCCTGGTGAAATGAACCAACCAGAGTAGATTTTTAAAAACATATAAATAGTTTATAGAACACATAGAGGTTTTGAACATCTATCTGTAAAGTAGTATATGTTTATGAAATAATTTAAACAGTGCAAACAGTGAAGAGTAAAAACTTAAGCAAAACAGTAAATACTAGTATTCATGATTCTAAATTTTAACACCACGATCTGTATATGCCTATACATAGATATTTCTATAAATACATAGCATAGTGTTTAGAAAACAACAGTAACATGATGGTAACTGTAAATCTTTGGAGAGGAGAGCGAATTTGGGAAAAGAGGAATTTTCAGTGTTTACAGAGTCATATATTGTCTAACATTTTTAATAAGAACATGTTACTGTATTACATGTTTTTGCTGACTGTATAGAGCTTCTCCATCTTCAACTGCAAAGAATATAATCAATCTGATTTCAGTATTGACCATCTGGTCCTCTCTTGTGTGGTTGGAAGATGTGTTTGCTAGGACCAGCGCATTGTCTAGGCGAAACTCTGTTAGCCTTTGCCCTGCTTCATTTTGTATTCGAAGGCCAAACTTGCCTGTTACTCTAGGTATCTCTTGACTTCCTACTTTTGCATCCAGTCCTCTATGATGGGGCTTCCCTGGTGGCTCAGATGGTAAAGAATCTGCCTACAATGTAGGAGACCCAGGTTCGATCCCTGGGTCGAGAAGATCCTATGGAGAAGGAAGGAGCAACCCACTCCAGTATTCTTGCCTGGAAAATCCCTTGGACAGGGGAGCCTGGTGGGCTACAGTCCATAGGGTCGCAGAGTTGGACACAGCTAAGCGACTAACCCTTTCTCTTTCTTTATAATGAAAAGGACTTCTTTTTTGGTGTTAGTTCTAGAAGGTCCTGTAGGTCTTCAAAGAATCATTCAACTTCAGTTTCTTCTACATCAGTGATTGGATTACTGTGATGCTGAATGGTTTGCCTTGGAAAGGAGCCAAGATCATTCTGTCCTTTTTGAGACTGAACTCAACTACTGGACTTTGGACTTTTTTGTTGACTATGAGGGTTACTCCATTTCTTTTAGGGAACTCTTGTCCACAGTAGTAGATATAATGGTCATCTGAATTAAATTTGCCCATTCCCATCCATTTTAGTTCACTGATTCCTAAATTGTCAATGTTCACTCTCGCCATCTCCTGTTTGACCACTTCTAATTTACCTTGATTCATGGACCTAATATTCCAGGTTCCTATGCAATATTGTTCTTTACAGCATCATACTTTACTTCCATCACCAATTACATCCACAACTGGGTGTTTTTTTCTCTTTGGCTCTGTCTCTTCATTGTTTCTGGGGTTTCTCCATTGATTTTCCACTCTTCTCCAGCAGCATATTGGGCACCCACCGACCGGGGGAGTTCATCTCCTGGGGTCCTAATTTTTTGCCTTTTCCTTGTGTTCATGGGGCTCCTGAGGCAAGAATACTGAAGTGGTTTGCCATTCCCTCTTCCAGTGACCCAGACTAGCACGGACATGCCCTCAGCCACTCCACACAACTGGACGACATGCCCAGAGCCCTGGTTGTCCCACTGCTCATCGTTGCTGAGCCTGTAAACCTTCACTGGCCACCAGGTGTTGGTCAATGTGCTGCCAGAGTCGGGGCAAAGGCCTTGCTGGAATCCACGGGAAAGGGGTCTTGGGAAGCCTGGAGCTGAGGCTGGAGGCAGCCAAGAGCAGAGGGCTTCCTGGCCCAGCTGCTGCCGCTGGACACCATGGAGCCCTTTTGCTGTCTGCATGGCCCGCTGCTGGCTAGGCTCTGGTCCCTGCCTTTTCTGTCCTCTGGCTCCTCGGCTTTATTGTCCAGGCCCAGGAGGCACAGCCACCGCGAGAGGGGCATGCAATGCTTCCCAGCCTTTCACAGTGCTGCCACAGGAACTTGGGGGCTCCCGCTTCCGCCATGGTCTCTGCGAAGCTGCTTGCCTGCCGTTAAGTCCCCTCCTCAGGACCCTCCACTCTACTTATAATTTTTATTGAATATTTTAACAGCTTTATTGCAGTATAATTTACATACAATAAACTGCACAAATTTAAAGTGTATAACTTGATAACTTTCAACATGTATATTCACCAGTGACACTACTACCACAGTCAAGATAATGGACGTATATATTACCTGGAAAGTTTCCTTATGTCCCTTTATAATCACTTCCTTCTCTCCTGACCTCAACAACCATTCCCAGGCAACCACTGATGTGTTTTCTGTCAGTGTAGATTATTTTAAAATTTCTAGATTATATAAACACAATGTTTTTTTTCTGACTTCTTTCAGTATAATTAAGATTTATTCATTTTGTAGCTGTATCAATAGTTTGTGGGTTTGTTTCTCTGAGTAAATCTTTTTAAAGTTAAATCTTTAACTTTTTAAGTTTAAAGTAAAAAATTTTTTAATCTTTAAATTTTTAAAGAAATTTTTTAAAGTAAAAGAGAAGCGTAGATAAGACATACACCTCAAACATACTGAAAAGTTGTCATTCAAAAATGTTACTTAAATTTTTTAAATATATTAAAAAAGAATTGGCCTTACCTCGAGTCCCACTTCCGGTCGCCACCACATATGTTTGGTAGAAGTTTAAAAATATGACTAAAGTTTTGAAAAGATGTATTATTTCTCATTCATAAAAGCAACATACGCTCATTGAAACGTCTTAAAGAAAGTCCGGCGGGTGGAAAACTGAGCCGCGTTCCACAAGCCCACAGCTCAGTTGACTGCGCTCTGCGACGGCGGGCTCGCGCCTGGTGCTCAGATGTTCGACGCCTGGCTGAGTCCCAACTCCCAGAGTACCGTCGTTCCCGCAGTTTCAGTTCCCAGTCGCCAGGTGGTGCTGCGAAGCCGAGCCCACGAGAGGGGAGGCGTAGCCGCCCGCGGGAGCACGTGACCCAGGCCTAGGGTTTGAGCGCCTGGGTCACGTGACGGGCCCGGAAGCGGCTGCTTGGGCAGCGGAGGGTGGGGATGGCTAGGGCTTCGAGCTGAGGCAGGAACTGTGGACTGGTGGGCTGCTGCACCGAAGTGGGAGCCAGAGCTGGAGTCGGAACCCAAGCGGTAAGTCCGCGCGCTGATGGGCTGGGGCTGGCGGCGGGTGGTCGCCTTCTGCTGGACCCAAGTCGCCTTCCTCCGGGTTCAGCAGATGCTCCGGGTCTGGCACCGACCGGCCTGGGCTGCGAGTCCTAGTCTCCTCGGCTCCCCGGTGGCAGCTGCGGTGCGTTGTGGGCACCCCTCCCGGATGAGGGGTGTTCTTCGTGCTGTCTCCTTTGACCTCCGCATCCTGTTTGACAGGTGTGGGAACAGGTCCCGAGATGGGAAGGATCACCAAAACGACTAGCTGGGGCTTCTGCTGCGCTTTCTACAGTGGTCCAGACATCGCGGGGAGGTGACCTGGCAGTTGCGGGAGCCCTGCTGGGAGATTGCTGATAGCCGGTCTTTGGGTCATAGAATGCCGGAACTACCAGGACTCTGGGAAATTATTTTTTGCAATCACTTTCTAGAGCTGTTGAGGAAATCGAGGTCCAAGAAAAGGCAGGGGTTGCCTAAGGTCATCCAGTGAGTTAGTCGCAGCCCTGCGACTAGAATCCAAGTCTCCCTGAACTCCAGCGGCTTTTTGCTTTTCACCACACTGCCTCCTGCAGAAAATTTGACAGGTGAAAAAAAAAAAACACCACCTAACACCCTTTTCCTTCGTTCGTTCTTCTCCCTCTTTCAGCTTTGCATTCTCGATTGTCTCTGGTTCAGCTTGGCTCTGGGTGTGGTTCCCTCATTCACTGTTAGCCCGATTTTTCTGCAAACTCATCATTCTGTAGGTTTTGTTTTTAACCGTCCTGCAATTTTGTGTAAGTCATCCCAAAATATGAAATAAGAAGCAGAGTATGCTCGTGGGAGGGTAGGCGGCTCCCAGCTGAGGTTGTGGAGAACGCTGACATTTAACTTGAAGAATGTCAAGACCTTTACTTTGTTTTTAATGTAGCTTGTCAGATTTGGGGAATGCTGGTTATTCCGATGAATGTTTTGCAGTTATTTGAGGCTTGCTGAAAGAAGATAGTTTGGTGTAATGGAAAGAACCGAGATTGGGGAATTAGGAGATTTTGTTCTAGTTCTGACACTTGCTTTGCCACCTGAGATGACTCCCATCCTTGCTTGGGTTTAGGTTTCCCAGCCTGTACAGTGATGGGGTGGAATCCCTACCGTCTCCTTCTGCTCTGACATTTTCTGTATCTCAGTCTGTTTTCTAACGGGAGAAATCCTACCTCCCCCCTCCGTTTGTTTCTTAATACAGTTGTCCAGGAAGCAATTTCCCTACTTGTTTGTAGGTTGCCATGAAATCCACCTCCTTTTTCTTCCTGTTTATATTATAGCTAAGCTAAATGCTGACAGCTGAAAATGATTTTGACTTTTATTATTTTAAGTATGATCAAGGGCCTCTTTGATTCTTGTTGAGAGCCTATTTTACAGTAATTAACATGATTGTATGTTTAGAATGTGGTTTTTTTAAAAGGTTCTTGAAGTCAAGAGGACACCAAAGGCTTGATCATTTGCTCTGAGTTTGAGACTGGGGTGGAGGCCTTATGCAACAGAGCCTGCTCTGATGATGGTATTAAGTCCCTCTCCCTTTGTTTTCTGATTGTGCCATTTTTAATTGTCTGCTCTTGAGTCCTTGTTTTCCCTTTGAAGCATGTATCTGTTCATTTGGCCTCATCCCTGTGGCAGCTTGAAGTGCTCAGAACTTTATCTATTTTAAAGGCAGTATAAGGAGGCAGATTCCATTTCTTTTGTAGTGTTCCAGAGATGACAACTAAGACCAGTGGATGGAAATACCATAAGAGAAGTGGTTTTGGGGTGAGAATGCTGCTGCTGCTGCTAAGTCGCTTCGGTTGTGTTCAACCCTGTGCGACCCTGTAGACGGCAACCCACCAGCTCCTCTGTCCCTGGGATTCTCCAGGCAAGAACACTGGAGTGGATTGCCATTTCCTTCTCCAATACATGCATGCATGCTAAGTCGCTTCAGTCGTGTCCGACTCTGCAACCCCCACAGACAGCAGCCCACCAGGCTCCCCTGTCCACGGGATTCTCCAGTCAAGAATACTGGAGTGGTTGTCATTTCCCTCCCCGTTGGGTGAGAATAAGAACTTTTAAAAGAAGTGGTGCTCTAGCATGTTGCAACACAGAGTATGACAGTCCCTATCACTGGAGGTCATTGTCCCTGGGCAATTACTCTTGGGAATGTGGTAGGCAGAGGATCAGACTAGATGAAATTTTAAGTTTCTTCTAGCTCTGAGGTTATATGAAATTCTAGGACTGGACTTGTTAGCAGGTGGGATGTGAGGTAGAGTTAGTGGAGCAGGGTTCCACTTTCATGCATGCTTTATTTTTCTCTTTGTTTAGATAACAATTCTCATGTTAAATACTTCTTCGTTTTCTTTTTTTTCCCTCTCCCTCCTCCTTTCCCCACTGAGTGTCTCAGTTCTTTAAGTTCTTGATACCTCTTCCAGGATTAGATGCTGAGGAGACATTACTGTTAATGATATATTCCTTTCTTTCTACCCTGACTTGGAGTAAGATCCTAGAACTGGGCTGAGTGAATGGACTTTGGTTTCTACTTTTGCTGACTAGTCCTCATAATTTCTTCGAGAAGTATGTGACTACCCCCTAAGTCCTAGGCTAGCATTTCTCTTTTTCCCAAAGAGGAAGTTCACATTGAGTCTTAACTCAGATCTTGGAGGAATCCTGTACCTCCTTCCTTTGGCCAGACCTAACTGGGTCTGAGCACAAAAAGCTAGCTTCTATTTAATGAGTGTGGGGTCCACTGGATAGGGCATTCTGCATATACTAAAAAGAGTAGGTTCCTGATGCTATATTTGGTGCTCTCTCTGCTCTTTTCTCCCAGACATTTCTCTTGGAATCCTTGACACCCAGGGCCAATTCTCAATGATCCTCTCTAGTAGGAAAGATTCCTCTGTGCTTTCCCTTTGCCGTGAAGTTCAGCATTCTGTCTCCATGGGTTACTGGGATGCTCTTGGCAGATAGAGCACTGTTTCTGAGATGGAGACCTGGCTCAGCTCTTCAGAGTGATAGGATGGAGGAAGTCCTGTGGCACTTTATTTGTGTAGTGACTCTCTGCCTTGAACTTCCTTCTCTCTAGTAATAACATAGTTGCTACCATTAATAAGGGTCCATTATGCACCAAGCAACATATTTAACATTTTTTGCTTCTACATTGGTAACAATATTGTGATATGAGTGTTATTGATAACATTTTTCAGATGAGGAAAGTAAGACAAAAGGAGATTAGGGTCACATAACTAGGCTCTGATCTCATGTACTTTTTGTTATGTGGGATTCCCCCTGTAGACTTAATCCTGCCCGAGTTCTGTTCCCAGGGAGATTTTAGGGAGAGTAGGTGGTGTGTTAGAAAGAACACTGGCCTAGGAATCTGGCATGCTGGGTTCTGATCCCAAACTGTTAACCAGCTGAAGCCTTGGTGTTCTCATCTATAACTGGGAAGCTGGAGCTTGGTCACCTGTCAGTCATGCCTGGTGCTAATGTTTAGAGATTTTTATGATGGTGAGTAAAAAGTCAGTGTGTTTGCTCATTCAGCTGCTCCTGTACAGAGCCTGCTGAGGTCAGCAGCTGTTTCGTGACTGCCCATGCACCACACTTTCTCAGGCAGGAGTCTCAAGTCAGGGGAAGTGATTCTGTGGTAGATCAGATGGAGTACTATCCCATGTCCTCGAAAACGAATCATGTGGATGTCAGACATTTTTACTTCCCTCCCTCTAGACCACATATAGGAACACAGTCTATGTCTTTGTTCGTGTTTTTGGAATTCCAGCAATGGAAAAGAGAACGTATATCTAGAGAATTCACTGCTTCTCTGGGTTCTAGAAAATGTAATTGTTTTATAATCATAGTAGTACTTTTAATCTGCATATATCACCAATCCATAAACTTTGGTAGGAGATGAGGCCTGGGGTGTACCTTCATAATAAGATCATATATATATATATATATATATATATATATATATATATACACACACACATATATATCTTTTTTCTTTTGAGAGCTTTATATAAATCTGCCTGTAATCAGGATTGTCTAAGAAGCCTGTTAAATGCTGAGGCTGAATCAGATTGGGCCCAGAGATCGGTTTGTTTGTTTTAGCAGTTTTATTGAGACATAATTCACACAGCATACTATCCAACCATTTAAAGCATACAGTTCAACAGCTTTTCTATTGAATTCACAAAGTTGTTCAACAGTCATTTTCAGAACATTTCATCACCCCCAAAGAAACTTAACCGTTTAGCCATCACCCCTTAATCCCTCCCAACTCCCAAATGTTCCTCTGTGACTGACTTCTTTCCCTTAGAATAATGTCTTCAAGGTTCATCCATGTTGTAGCATCTATCAGTATTTCATATCTTTCTTTTTTTTTGCTAAGTAATATTCCGTTGTATGGATATATCACTTTTCATTTATCCACTCATTAGGTTTTTTTCCCCTCATTTTTTGGCTAATAGGAATAATGCTGCTATGAATATTTGTGTGTACATTTTTCTATGGACATACATTTTCATTTTGGTATGTACCTAGGAGTGGAATTGCTGGGTCCTGTCCACCACTCCTAGGTCCATACCAAAATGAAAATGTATGCCTGTAGAAAAATGTACCCAAAGATGTTCATAGCAGCATTATCCCTAACAGCCAAAATTAACTGGGTCATATGATAACTATGGGCTTCCCTGGTAGCTTAGGCAGTAAAGAATCTGCCTGCAATGCAAGAGGCCCGGGTTCAATCCCTGCTTCAGGAAGATCCCCTGGAGAAGAAAATGGCAACCCACCCGAGTATTCTCGCCTGCAGAATCCCATGGACAGAGGAGCCTGGCAGGCTACAGTACAGTCCATGGGGTCGCACAGAATCTGACACGACTGAGTGACTAACACTATCACTTCTCTTCATGGTAACTATGTTTAGCCTTTCAAGAAACTGCCAGACTGTTCCAAAGTGACTGCACCATTTTACTTTCTCATCAGCAATGTAAGAGATGATTCTCTACAACTTCTCTGCATCTTTGCCAATACTTGCTGTTACTTGTCTTTGATTCTAGCCATCCTGGTGGATGTGAAGTAATACCTCATTGTGATATTTGTTTCTCATTTACCTGATGGG